AGAGTGTAAATATAGTAGGCCAATGACTTTCAGTTGATGTTAATGCACCGATCATTCCTTTCATCGAAAGGGGGCCCATCTAGTTTATTCTAACAACAGTAACAGCAGCCACGATGACTTGCCAGCCCCACAGATCTGTTTTGCTTTACGCGTTTCGTTTTCTAATTATTTTTTAACAGCTTGTCAACTACTTCCGGAGGATAGTAATATTCAAGCCATAAAACAATTAATACTTGCAAATTGGCGTTTGGATTTCTTACCACAAGAATCACAGCTGGAAGAATCGAAGGAGCTTACAATATTTATGCATATATGTGAAGCGTGCTGACAAAATGAGTTACTTCTCGGATTCGAACCCTATGGAAATAGATACACAACCATTATAGGTGAAGTTTTGACAATTTATAAGTATAGCATAACAAAAGGCATGTTGATTTGAACGAATATGGCATCAATAGAAATTCTACACATTTGACCCTGGAGTTGATTTTGGCCAATATCCCCATTTGGGGAATGCAAAAAGTAACTCATTTTGTCAGCATGCCTCACATATATTTTTTGAAACCGTGGTGTTTTACGCCATCCTCGACACAAGTTAGCTCATTTAGGAGGCGGACCTCCGACCCGGTCTGTCAGGGACAACAGGGGCTATGGTGGATACAGCAGAAAGACCGAGATTCTCAATAAAAATTTATCGAGACTTTGAAGGGGGGGGGGGTGATTTTTTTTGTTACTTGGTTTGTTTAGTTTAGTTAAGTAGAGGTTTTACGGTGCTCGATAAAGACGATAGATGTTTGATAGAAGGAAAGAAGAAGCAAACCACACCAGAGCACCCGCCAACCACCCACCCTCGATTTGAACAGAGTAAACATGTAGAAAATAGACAACACCACTGCCACCTTCATCAACACCTACAACAACACCAGCAACAATGCTATTAAACAACAGAAGAAACAATAATAACATCAACAACACAAAGTAACAACTACACAGGCAACAGTAACAAACATCAACAGTAGTAACAATATCAGAAGCAGCAACAACAATAACATTAACAATAGCAATTACAGCAGCAGCAGCATCAACATCATTATCATCAACAACAACAACAACAACCAACAACAACAACCACAACAACCACAACAACAACAACAACAACAACAACAACAACAACAACAACAACAACAACATCAACAACGACCAAAACAATTTACTTGTTCTGAAAAAAAAGGGATAACGCTACGACATTAATCTATTATCTATTTGTGGTGGCCGAATTTTTCTATTCAAAATGATTTTTAATGGCTGCATCGATCGATATGCTGTTTTCGCCAAAAGATTCTTTGAAATATTCTCCAGATCATGACATCTTTCGTTTTTTCAGTTTTGAGACAGTTTTGCTGCAAAAAGCTAAATTTCTTTATTTCGCCGATCACTTTTGTATGCCGACGCTTCTGT